TAGGGAAACTTTTTAACCTGCCTGGACACTCAATTGTGGATTTAAAAGTAGCCATTTGTCTACAAAGGAATTTTGCCACTCAATTTCAGAGAGAGGCTGCAGAACTAGAATTCATCTACAAATGTGACACTGTTACTCTGGTCTTGAATAAAGATATTGATAGGCTAACGCACTATAAAGGCAATTTGCCCTGCCTTTGACATTTGCATTTTCACATCAAAAGCTATGAATGAAACACATCCAGCCCACTTAATTAGCTGCATTAATACGGGTTCTACAATTGACAGGTGACTGCTTTTGCTGTTATATATATATCTTGGGGGGCATCTAGACAGCACCCTTCTGTCAGAATAAATGACATAATTTGTGCTATGCATATTGCATAGCTTATTCCGAATCTAAATCGAATGAGCGTATTTTGAAATTTGGTGCTGTCTACACAGTGCCAAAATTCAAAATAAAGCACTATTTTGAGACATCCCTTATTCCTCACGGAACGAAGGTTACAGGGATGCTGATATAGCGCATCCGCTATATTTCGAAATAGCGAAAGATGCAGGGTTGCATTGCAGTGTTGACATACCCTTGGATTCTGTTATTTCCACTCCAACTCATCGGATAAAGTGGCTTTTTACCCACGAAAGTTCATCATCTTATATATTTACTTGATGATCTCTCGAGGTCCCTTCCAGGTCTAATATTCTATGATATTTTGGTTAGTCTCTAAGGTGTCACAGGACTACTTGTTGTTTTAAGGTTACAGACTAACATGGCTATCCCGCTGACACTTTTCAAGTTTTGTTGTTTAGGTGAATATTCCAACCAGTAAACTCGTTTGCTAGAACTTTTGCAGACCGGGGAAAGAAGAGGGACATGGTCACAACTGAAGCTGGTTAACCCTTCAGAGGTATATCTGCCGTACACTTGCACATGTATACTTATGTGCACAAGGAAGCATTAAGCCTGATTTGCAGTTGCAAATCCGACAGCCAAACAGGTAAACCAGGTCTAACCGCCCACACAGAGCCTGGGTGCAATTGCCTACATACACATAAATGCATTCAGGATGTCCATGGACTATGAGCTGTGGTTTAGCTAGAGGGCAGAGCCCTGCATGCAACACGGGGCAAAGTCATGGAAAACATTTTCTTTATGAGCTCAGCACAACCCCAGCCTCTTTTTCAAGGGGACTTTGCCCAAACCTGAATGTGTTTCCTTTGTACATTAAAGGGGTAGCAGTGGGGAAACATGAAACCTTTCATGAGCAGAGACTGGAGAGACACACTGACAGATGGAAGGATTAATATACAAGGAAGAGTAACCAACCTTTCACCTGCTGACCGTTTACCCACTATTCAGAGAAACAGGCAGCATCTGAACAAAGAGCGGAAAAGCCAGCATGCTAAAGAGTGAAATCATCCCGCTGGCAAAATGAAACTCTTTGGCAGGTATATAATGGACCTGGAAAACAAAATGCACTGAGATTTGTGCATGTAAACTGCAGTTGATCCAACCGTGTCTAGTGCGTTAGAGGCACTGAGGTCGTCACAGTGGAAAGACAGAAGAGGAATCCACAAAAAGTCAGGACAACGGCACTGCAGTTGGGCTCGTTGGCTCCAACCATGCGAGTGAAACATAAGCAGCCAATAAAAGTTCATGTAAGAACATCAGAACAGCCAGACTGGGTCAGACCAAAAGTCCATCTAGCCCAGTGTCCTGCCTGCTGATAGGGGCCAATGCCAGGTGCCCCCAGAGGGAATGAACAGAGCAGGGAATCATTAAGTGATCCATCCCCTTTCATTCATTCCCAGCTTCTGGCAAACTGATGCTCCAGGCACCATTCCTACCCATAATGGCGAATAGCCATTGGTGGGCCTGTCCTCCATGAACCTGGTGCGAACCAGACAGCGTAAATTATTCAGTGATCGAAGTACCCTTCACAAATCCTGGAGAGGAGAAATCCGAGAGGTGGTGGTTGTAGCTGATGATTGATGTTTCCAGCATGGGACTGGGGCTTCTGCGTTGGTTTGTGTTTTCAATCTTAGCCTGTCCCCGCTCATCTAACGTCCGCGGTTGCCATGCCAACAAAACTTCTCTGCAAGACAGCTTGCTCCTCCTCACTGGATGTGGCTCCCTGACAGAAAGGCCCATGGACAGAGGGGAGAAAGAGGGCAACTGCCCCTGGGGTTGATGGCACGCTCTGGGTAGCTCTAAGGGCTGGGAAGGATGGCGTGATGTGCTCCAACCGCCTCTTTTGCCATAGGCCACGCCCCTTCCAGATGCATGGAGCCAACTACCCCCACACACCTTGGCCGGGGCCCAGCATGACTGCTGGCTCCCCTGCCAATAGACACCTTATCTGGGAAGAGGGGAAGTGATGTCCCCTCTTTCTTTCTTCTTTTATGTTAGCCCGTGGCCAGATTGGATCCAGAATCCTGTCTCCAACATGGCCAGCACTAGATGCTTCTGAGGCAAGTGCAAGACACCCCAGAGCAGACAGCCACAAGCTAGCCAGCTGCCTTTGATTAGGGTTTGGGATGAGACCTCTCTTGTTGAGTAGGACAGCACCCCGTTATGCGAAACTGGCACTTTCTTCTTTGGAGCCGCTTTGCCGTTTGGTTTGGTTTCTCTCTCTCTCCAAATGACGCGGCATCCGTGGTCCCCCGAGGAGGGTGCCGCGACAGATTCTGAGTTCGACTCTTGCTGGGGCCCGCCCTCAGAGTCGGCAACGCTTTTCGCTGTAGCCCTACCCCGCTGGGCTGGGAGCTCATCCCCCCTCGCAAGCCAAACAGGGTGGAGCCTGGAGCGCACGTGGAAGCTGCAGCGTGATTCAGAAAGCAGCCCGCCCTTCCCGCTGTTCTTACGTGTTAACAGCCCTAATCTACAGCCGAGGTTCCCCGTAACACTGAGGCCCTTCCCCCGAGACATTGTCTTTGCTGAACTGCGATGCCTTATTGTTTTGCAGGCCTGGCCTCCCGGGGGCTGACAGACTTGCCAGCCCCTCAGCAAGGTGGGGGGGCTTCATGGAAAGGGCGGGGTTAGAGACAGCCAGCCCTCAGTGCCATGCCGGCCTCCCCCAGCCCTCAGCTCTGCCCAGAGTGCACTGTGCGGGGCTCCTGCCGCTTCTGTGGTAGTAACAGTGGCAGCCAGGAGCTCTGGGCCCTTTTGAATCACCAGGCCCCAGGGCAACTGTTCCCTTTGGCTCTACCTCACCCCCATCAGCAGGCCTGCAACCCTTCCCCCCCCCCCTCCGCCGCCAAATTTTTCCTGCTTCCTGCTTCTAAGAAGCTGTGGAACCTCCAAGGGGAATGGAGAGGAGGCGGCAGGTCTGGACTACAGCCTTGGGACTCTGTGGGAGGTTTGGAGGCCCAGGGAGAAGGAAGCTGACGCACTTGGCCAGCCCCTCCACTCCTGCTTGTATAAACCATGTTCTTTGACTTGCTTAGATCTTTCCATTTTTAAATGAGCTCCGTGCGAGTGAAAGGAACCTCCTTGAGAGCCCCAAGACCAAACCCCTCTATGGTCGCCAAGCATGGACAATAGCAGGGCAAGCGTCTCCTGCCTGCCCATCAATACGTCTCACTGCTGGCCTTCCGGGACCACCTCTTGGGGAAGAGGGAAGTTCAGTCTCCAGGCCCTGTCAGTCCTAGCTAAGTGCTCTGCAGGAACCGCCAAGAAAGAGGCCACATAATTCCTGTTATTGATGCCACCTCACCAATCCCACCGGACAATCAGAGGAAGGTAGGAAGCTGGGTTGGGTTTGAAACGGAGAGTGAAGGGCTGCATCCCTTGCGGCAGTACTAGCCCCGTTAGGCCCGATGCTTTGGGGAAGAGCTCTGAGGCCCACATCTTACATGCGTAGGAGAGAATGGAGAGAAGGAAATCCTGCAGAGGAGAAATACTAGAAGGTGTGACCATCAGGAGGCCAGATGGCTGATTTCAGCAAGATGGAGAAGAGGAGGAGGAAAGTTTCACATCTTAGTAGTCAGATTCCTGGAGACCAACTTCCATGCTGTGTCCCAGCAGGCCTGTGAGTAACTACACCAGTCGCTCGCCTGAAGTGAGATTAAGAAAGTAAATTATTTTTAACTTGTGGCTCTAGTCCCTAAGGGTGGCTCCATTTCCCCTCCTGTTCCTACATGGCAGTAGACAGTAATAGAGGCAACGAAGCTGGCGTCTCCTGCTCCGTTCTCTCAGCTCCTTTTACAGACCTGAAAGTTCTTTGCAATTGAGTGCCTGAAGCAAAGAGGTGTCAAGTATCAGAGGGGTAGCCGTGTTAGTCTGAATCTGCAAAAGCGGCAAGGAGTCCTGTGGCACCTTATAGTCCTGTGGCATCTTCTCTCCATTCTCTCCTACACATGTAAGACGTGGGCCTCAGAGCTCTTCCCCAAAGCACCGGGCCTAACAGGGCTAGTACTGCTGCAAGGGACGCAGCTCTTCACTCTCCGGTTCATGCTCCAACACTTCAGTTAGTCTATACGGTGCCACAGGACTCCTCGCCGCTTTTGAAGCAAAGAGGGTGAGCCATTCCCATGTTACCAGCCACTTTAAATCACAGGGTTGCCAGGTGTCCAGTATTGACCCGGACAGTCCGGTATTTTCTCCTCCTGTCCATTAAAAAATTTCAGAAAATACCAGACACCTAAAATGTCTGGTATTTTCTGATTTTTTCCCAGCCAGGAGGCAAAAATCCCTAGATCCTCAGGGCCGGTTGGGCAGCCACCAGCAGCCTGTTAGGGCCAAAAAGCCTCAAAAGCATTTCTTAAAGGGATCACGCTTTTTTTTTAATCTTATTTTATTTTTTTAGCTTAACTCTTGGGGTCCTTTTTTTTGTTCAACAACTTTGGTCTCCCCCTTTTTTTTCTCAACAGAATTTTTTCCCCAGTGGGGTTTTTTTGGGGGGTTGGTGGGGAGGAAGGTGGTTGGTATTTTTGGTTAAACCATCTGCAGCCCATCAGTGGCTCAGTTTGGGAACCAGCATTTGAGACAAAATCCCAATGATTCATGTTGGTACTTTGTTTTTAAATACTGCCTAAAATATCAAAACATTTCTGTGCAAAGAAAGTGAGGCTGAAAATGATTCCTAATTGGCTGAAGGATTAGATTAAAAGGGTTTGACTAGAAAAGGGAATAGATAGATAGATAGATAGATAGATAGATAGATAGATAGATAGATAGATAGATATTGAATAGCAAATTGAAAATTCAAAGCCATGTGGTCAGAAGCAGTTTATAAATTTGGGCACCCACAACTTGGCTCCTCTGTTTTGTGGGGCCTAGCTTATAGGGCTCAAAAGACATGAACCACTGGCTTTCAGATCAAGGAATCAGAGGTGTTTGGCTTTCTAATGCTGTCTGTACGTGCCAGTATGAGCCTTGGTTACCTCAGAACTTCACAGTCAGCCCCTCTGCCCACACAAAGGCAAAGGCTGCTTTGAAACTGTGGCCCTAAAGGTTACTTCCCTCCCACTGAAGTCAACGGGCATACTGTCATTGACTTGAACAGGAGCTGGATCTGTCCCCTACCCTCCCTAAAGTGGCTGCTTTCCAAGAGAGGAAACACAGGCAGTGCTGCAGAAGAAAGGAAGTGGGGAGAGAAGGGGTGAATGGAAGTGGTGAGGGAGAAAGGGAGGGACCGACCACCACAAAAAGCCCCGTGACAACAATCATACCTTTTGCCACAATCGGCATTCAATGCAGCCGGGTCTGAAGCGTTGTTGTTCTCGGCTTTAATTCCGTCGTTACAAACAGACCGATCTTGTTTCCCCAGAGCTCGCAGCTGCTGCCGAGGGTGAAGCCTTCGCTCACTTCTTGGACCCGAATGCGAGGCTGTGAGGTAATGGAGGATGGTGTTTTGCTCTGGTTGGGACAGGGATCAGTGTGAGGACTGAAAGAACAGCCCCTGCTTCTGTGCAGCTCTGACGTCACCCCGGACACGGGTGTTGCTGGGACACTTGAGCCTCTCCTCAGCTGCTGATGTCAGACCAACCCTTGGGTGGCGTGAGGAGCTGGGGGGAAAGGGACAGTCTATAGATCCAGGCCTTGTGCCTCCTGGATTGGCTAAAAATACTCAAATTGAGTGGTCCAGGGCATGGCAGAAACCAGTGGGGAATTAATTTGGCTGGTTACACTTCTCCAGTCTTCTCCCTTCATCTCTCCGATAAAATCAGTCAAGACAGGATTTGAAAGAGGCCCTGGTTCCTATTCCTCCTCTTGCTAAACAAGGGGTAATAATTAGAAAGGGATGTCAGCAATAAAAGGGCACTGCCTGCCAATGAGGCACAACTTGGCCATTTCAGATGAAGTGTGGTCTCACTCAGTGGTGCCCAACCTTTTTTATATCACGGACCAGCCAGTCTGCTCCCAAACATTTGGCAGACAGGTAACAGTTTATTTGCATATTAATTATGTAAATAATGAATTTGCAAAGATGCAGATAAAATGTTACCAGTCCACAAAATACATATCCCAGCCCTGGCCCCCAGAGCCGCCATGAACAGCCAGCTTCAGCTCTGGCAGCTGCTGCAGCCCAGCCGCCAGTGGTTTGTGGAACCGCTGGGCTAACTGGCCTCAGGTACTCAAGGCCCTGTGGTTACCCAGGGAATGGGCACCAAGAGAGAATTCTCACATGTATAGATGCAGCCCATGCATGGCTAGGATCAAACCAGGGACCTGTGGGGCTTAACGCATGAGCCTCTACTGCCGTGGAATAGCAGCTATAGTGGCTACTGCCTTGGGCGCCCAGTGTGTAAGGCAGGGGAAGGCTCTGCCTTCCCAAACTGCCAGGCGTAGCCCCACCCACACTCTGCCCCCAGAACGCCTGCTATAAGTGTTCTGGGGGCAGGGTGTTGCTGCCCCCCAGTGCCTGCCCTGCTGGTGCGCCGAGGCTGGAGAGGCCAGCTGAGCCATGTGGCGTGCCCTCCTTCTTCCCCCAGTGCTATGGGGCTGGAGAAGTCAGGTGGGTGTTAAGTATAGGGTGCACCCTCCTCTGGGGCTGGGGAGGTCGGGGCATCCACCCGCTCCCCTCCCCTCAGATCAAAGGGGGGAGCATGTGCGCAGCGCACCACCCTGCCTTCCATGTGGGGGTGGGGCCTCTGCAGAAGAGGTGGGGATGGAGGTGGGCCTGGGGGCTTGCCTCCCCCATCCCTGCCTTCACCAACCACCCATGGCTACTGAAATAGCCAACTAGCCACACTCAACCGGCCAAATAGCCAAATATGACTAGTGGCTAGCGTGTTGGACACCACGGCTACTTCATAGAGTAACAGACACGTCTCTATTGGCCAAGGCGGTAGCAGGCTCACAGTCTCTAGCTCAGTGGTTCTTCCTTGTACCGTGTCTCTCTTCTGACAACAAAAATTACCTCAGCTCCAGTCCCAAGTGATGAGGCTCAGGCTTCGGCCTTAGGCCCCAGCAAGTTCAATGCCAGCCCTGGCAATCCCATTAAAACAGGGTCAAAAGCGACTTTGGGGTCCCACCCCACAGTTTGAGTGGCCCCTAGATGGGGGCAGAGTGCCACACCAAGCAGGCTCAGGTTACGTTTGGATGGGGGCATCCTACAGCGTCAAGGCCCCAGGTAGCTGCTGTGGGACAGGGAACCTGTCAGCCCCTGGAAAGCAAGCTGAAACCTTAAAACGTGTGGGGAACGTAAGGCCCAGGGGCAGGATGTGGCCCTCAGCTTCCCTGGATCCAGCCTCGAGGCTCCCCCTCAGAACTGGGGAGCCCACACTGGCATTCCAGTCTCTCACTGTCCCCCCATGGGGCGGGAGCACATAAAATAACGTAGCCCGGACCACCCCCCGGCTCTGGTGTGCGAGTGGAATGTGGAAAGTGTCTTTCTGCTTCTCAAGTCAGGGGGCCACGTCAGTGGGGGGTTGGTTTTTGTTTTATTTTGTTTGCTTCTCACTTGTGTGTGGCCCCCGACTGATTTTTCTGTGGGTCAGCGGCCCCTGGCCCAAAAAAAGGTTCCCCACCCATGACTTAAAACTCCAGCCCCCAGCTCTGGCTCCAGCCTGGCGTGGAGCTCTAAGCACTGGGGTGCTTCTAGCTAGAGCCGTGGACCCTGAAATATCAGCAGGTTTCCAGTAAAACCTGCCTGCATTCTGGAGCAAGTTTCATCTAATCTGTAATAGATGCAGAGAAACATTTTACCACAACGCATCAGCATTTTCCAAGTATACTCCATTGGACTGAAAAATTACCAACTGCTCTGCTGCTAATTCACCTGTCATGGATTCTTCCCCCATCTTTCCCTGGGCTTCAGATTAAGCGGCGCTGGCTCTGACACTGTTCTCCTCCAGGGTTTTGCTGGAACATACTGGCTACGTCTACACTGGCATGATTTTCCAGAAATGCTTTTAACGGAAAAGTTTTCCGTTAAAAGCATTTTCGGAAAAGCGCGTCTTATTCTGAAGTAACACTGCTGTGTACAGGTACCCTCAGGGCTCGCTTTCTCTCTGCTGGCCCCAGCGTGGTGCCTGACCGCTAGAGCTGGGCAGAAAATCTTTTTTTAATTTTTGTCCACAAGAAATTGATGAAAACGGATGTTGTATTCCATGACAATTTCCATTTTTATTGCAACACCATTTTTGCTAGTGAGAAAACCCCCACTTTGACCAGCTCAATAGTCTGGCTTTTGTACAGAAGAGTTTGGGGTGCAGGCTGCCTTAAGACACTGTTTTTGGTTTTCTGTTTAGCACAACTCCCCTGTGCCCGGCCTGCTAAACATTCAGCTACCTCTCCGGGGTTTGTGGCAAACTAGCAGCAGCAGCAAGAGAGGGGATACTGTACCTAAAGGCAAAAGGCAGGTGGCTGGGTGACAGCAGAGGTCCAACCCAGCACTGACTGAACAGCTCTCGTCCCAAAGACCAAAAAGGGGTGAGACGGAGAGTTGCTTCGGAACGGAGCCAGACTGGGAACAAATTGAATCCTGCTGTCGTGACCTACTCGGAGAGTTCAAGTTCTTTGTGAATGAATATGAACAGTTGGGAAGAACTTCAGTGACGTTGCTAACACAGGCCAGTCGCAAGAGCTGGTGGGGGGGGATGTTTGTTCACCAGCCAAGCAGCTATTTCTGTCTGCAGGGGCCTGAGGAGATAAGCAGACAGGGGAGGACAGCAAATGTTTTCAAGTAAACAACAGTGGGATGGGCATGGGAGAAGCAGGGGAGGGTGGAGGCCCTTCATGAGTCATAAGAAACCAGACAGCAACAGTGGGGTTGAGTTTTCCTTACATGACGGAACGGCAGCTAATCCTCTAGTCACAGAAACCGCCGCGTTTTCAGTAACAGCCGTGAGTAGCTAGGAACACTTGAGCTGTGGCTGTTGTGTCACTGTACATCCAGGAAGCAAACACTGTGCTCCTTTCCCCACCCGCACCGCCCCGCCCCTTCTAGATCACGTTGTACCACCGTGTTGTCCCAGGGAAGAAGTCTGACGTGCCCTGTTCTAGTTGACGGACACCTCCCTGAGCCTGCCAGGCCTTTGGGGCCCCCTGCTGCTACTTGTTCTAGGAATCAGTTTTCTCTGCTGCATTTCTCCCTGCAGGGTGTCTTTGGTCTGCTATTCCCCTCAACCATGTCATCCTTGTACCCTTCCCTCTGCTAACCCCTTCCCCCGGCCCAGCTGTCCAGGCTGCCAACAGGCGAATGCTTTGAAAGCTGATGCGCTAACTAGGTCCGTGAGCAGGGGGCAGCTAATACACAGCACCGATTCCATTACAGGACGGCTGTTGTGTCATGTTTACTGAGCTCTCTGCTGCACACTCTGTGTCTGGAGGATTCCTGGAATTAGATTTTATGTCAGACCCTCCCCCGCCCCCTAAAACCCACATAAACCTAGAATGTTGAAAAAAAATCCCAGCCCGTAACTTCTGGCTGATACTGCTCCCCAAATGGCAGGCAGCATGCGACGGCCCTTCCAAACTGCATTTTTCCTCTGCCTGGGCGCCCACAAGGGGCTGGCTTCGTAACTGTTTTAATTCCTTCTGATATTTCCTCTCTCCTAATGTAAAGCAGAGATGGGTCCTGGGCGGGAGAAATTAACCTTCAAAACCATCAACCTTTTTGTTAAACCCAAGAGAGAAGGTGACTCCTAAAAGACCCAACCCCTGGAAAGTCTGAATGCTCAGAGTTCGGGTTACCCAGACAACCCTAGTTCTGTATTCATAGCACTATTATTCCATGCACCTTCAAGGGAAGGTAAAGAGATATAGGTGAAGAACAAGCGCCACATCCATGAACATTTGAAAATCTTGCTAGTAATAACTTCTGGGAGTAGCTGGGGAAAGGATTGGACACTGCTGAAGAATCTCTCTGAGGAACTCGGGAGCTGGTTCCCTGCCTATTACCTACAAGGCAAGGGTTGAACTGGCAAAGTCCTGCACAGTTTGCTGGCAAGGCAGACGGTGAAGACACACACAATTTAGGTGCTGCGAAGTTCTTTGTTGTGGAGGCGGAGCAGTAACACAGTGGCTGGCAGTTTTGAATGACCTGGGCAAGCCATCACGTTGGCATAGTCAGACTGGATTTACACACAGCTTGCTGTGCAACTGAGCTTCGCACTTGGAGCGCAGGGATACTAGTTTTTTTAGGCGACTGTCGAGTGAAAAGGCTGAGAACAGTCAAAGGAGGGTTGGACTCTTCACGGCATGTGCATGTTGGGCGAGGAAACAGAGCAAAAGAAAGTTTAAAGTGACGCTAGAATTGGCCAGGATGGAGGCCAGTGAGAAAGCTAAAGCATGAGGAATTGCAAAAGCAGGGTGCAAATATCAAAGATGGGAAGCAGACCAGAGAACCAAAGAAGTTGACCAGAGAGCCATGGAGAGGGAATCGGAAAAGTCACATCAAGGGGTGGCGTACCACAAAAACCCTGGGAACTAAGAGCGAATGTAGCTCAAGAAAGAGAGGCTTTATAACCAGAGCATGGTGGATAAGCATGGACAGATCTCGCAGTTCACCGGTACTCCCGGGCTGGCCCACAGAACCCTCTTCTGGGATAAACTGGGCTTCAGCTGCAAACCGCAGCATGCATCAATGCTACAGAACGAGGGAGCCCT